TTAATTCGGTCGTTGTGGTCGGACTCTATTATGGATTTCTGACCACATTCTCCATAGGTCCCTCTTAGATCTTCTTTCTCCAATCTTGGGTTAGGGAAGAAGGAGATATTCGCGACTACTGGCGGTTTCATTATGGGGCAGCTCATGATCTTCATATCGATCTATTATCCAATCCACCTCTGCATCTATTCTTTCTTAGCTAAACGGGTGGAAGATCCATCCAATTTGGTTATATCATGGACTCGAAAAACGGATCTGAATGTGACTGAAATGCACGATCTTCACAGGTATCACTTTTCACGATACCTAAACCTAAAAGGTGGAATAGCGATTTTCGAACCATGAACGAGAAAAGGCATGAGAGAAATATTGGCTAGTAATTGTGAAGCCCCAATTCTTAACTGGAAGGGACACCAAAGGACTCTGCCCTCCCTCTCTATTTATCCAAGAGATGGAAGGGCAGAGCTTTTTTTTGGTTTTTTCATCTTTTCTTTTCATCAAAGAGTTGAACAATGAAGATAGATGGCAAGTGCCTGATCGATTTGATCAGGTCGTGTAGGAACAAGGTTCAAATCGTTCGTTCGTTAGGATGCCTCAGCTGCATACATCACTGCACTTCCACTTGACACCTATTTAAACGGCTCGTCTCGCCGCTACCTTATCCTATTTCCATACTTCTGTCGCTCCATCCCCGTATGGGTGGAGAACCCGTCGCTGTCTCGGCTGTGCTACCGGAGGCTCTAGGGAAGTCGGAGGAGAGAGCACTCATCTTGGGGTGGGCTTACTACTTATATGCTTTCAGCAGTTATCCTCTCCACACTTGGCTACCCAGCGTTTACCGTAGGCACGATAACTGGTACACCAGAGGTGCGTCCTTCCCGGTCCTCTCGTACTAGGGAAAGGTCCTCTCAATGCTCTAACGCCCACACCGGATATGGACCGAACTGTCTCACGACGTTCTGAACCCAGCTCACGTACCGCATTAATGGGCGAACAGCCCAACCCTTGGAACCACCTACAGCTCCAGGTGGCGAAGAGCCGACATCGAGGTGCCAAACCTTCCCGTCGATGTGGACTCTTGGGGAAGATCAGCCTGTTATCCCTAGAGTAACTTTGATCCGTTGAGCGACGGCCCTTCCACTCGGCACCGTCGGATCACTAAGGCCGACTTTCGTCTCTGCTCGACGGGTGAGTCTTGCAGTCAAGCTCCCTTCTGCCTTTGCACTCGAGGACCAATGTCCGTCTGGCCCGAGGAAACCTTTGCACGTATATAGCACTTAGAAGAGTGACTTCTCCCCGATAAGGGTTTAGAGTATAGAGAGGATGCCTTTCTATAAATAATAGTAATAGTAAAAGACATAAAGCAAAGACTAGATTAGATGTTGAGTCCGCCGGCATTTCTTTTTTCTCGACTTTTTCGAAGATTGATTGTGACGAACTGGCGCATTTCCTTGGGGAACTTATCATAGTCTTTTTAGTTTGATTTATCGGAAAGAAGGATACTTTTATTATTACCGTAACTTTTATTTTACTTGATACAAAGTTTTGATTACGAAACTTTCCTTGTGACCGGATCTTTTTATGCTCTCTTGGAACCGACAACTTACTTCATGCTATTACTAACACTTATGACTGAGCCGCACTTGCTTTTCAAAAGAAATTGAAACTCTCATGCCTGAGACTAGCCAATAGAAGAAAGAGCCACAAGCAAGCCATAGCAGCATCCTTTTTCTTCGCTTTCTTCAACAATGCGAATCTACCTCACTCCTCATCAGAACTCAAATACAAATTTATAGTATCATCTGGTTCTATTTCCTCACTACAGCAATAAAATGTGAAACCAATATTCATCATGAAACTTCAGACACTGATGATTGTGAGGGAAGAGAGACGACGTAGGCTGATTCAAAGTGAACAGAAAACCAACCAAAGAATGGAAATTCATTCTTCTAAACAGGAGGTCTAGAGCCACCTTCCTCTAGGGGGCATCCTCACGATCCTGCTCTTTATCCTTTCTTCTTATCCTCATCTTCCGAATCGTCAAGTGAGCAAGACTACATAATAAGAGAATGCGGGAATGGATCTGAGACTGATGGCTGACCGGCCTGCACCCACCGAACCCTTAGCCCTTGCTTCAATTAGAGCAACATACGAATCTGCAGAAGCATCTAATAGCGATTCTTAGAATCAGTTCGGAATGAATGCTATACTTTTTCTTCCCCACTCATCTTATTAAGCCTTTTTCTTAGCCCGCTTAGCTTCCGTGCCCAGATAGACTTTTACTATACTATAAAAGAGAGCTAGATGATCTGTTATCAAGTGAGAAGAAAGGCAGGTCCAGAATGCCGTTGATAGGCCTAAGTCCCTCACCTAGAGTCATCGTCGGAGGAAAATCGGTAACCTAACCTACAGGAGTAGAAAATGAAGTAGGTCCAGGTATGATCAAGCTCTGTCGTGAGCCGGTGCTTGAACCGTGGTTGAGGCTGCCGATGCCTCTCACATTAGCGAAAAGACCTCCCGGCCGCTAAAAATCAGGCTAGGCTTGCGAGCCCGCCTTCCCTAATGAGAAAGAAAACTAGAACTATTATAGCCTTTACTATAAGCTGGGAACTCTTTCTGACTAAAGAAAAAAAGGAAGCAAAGCTATATTTCGATCCAAGCCCTAGGTTTGGCTCACGCCCGGAAACCTATAGTACAAGGGTCGGTGGAGGGGACCCTGAGACCTATGGGATGAGATTCTAAGGAGGACTGAGAAGGCAAGAGGGATATCAAAGGATTCTCTTCGGTCAGGTCTTATATAGGCTCTTCAAGACGAATGGTATCGATGCACTGCTCTCAGGCGAGATTGAACACGAAAATAGCATGCACGGGAGTCAAAGTGCGCGCAGCAAATCAACTAATAAAGAGTACCCTTTGCCGTCTATGTTCGAAAGGATAAAGCAGGCAAGATAAATATAAGTACAGGAGAGGAAATAGGAATGAATTAAAGAAAGTAGGACTATCTCCAGATAAAGTTGTTAGAGCGAGGTATTGCAAGGATGGATTCGAGAATGGTGTTCAGAACGACGCTTGTCCGCCTGCTTGTGAGTCAGTTCTGCCACTCTTTCCTGCTGAAGCAAGAATCCGAGGCATGACTAGACCACTCTTCGATGAGATAGTCAAGACCCTGGTAAGCGTTAAGAAAGAGAGGCCATAGGCACAGTCTCCCCTTGGAATAAAGGGTCTTGGCATGTAGTCTGGTCCAACCACAACAATAGGGATTGGAATGAAAAGTGTTTGTGCCCACCTCACCAACCATCTTGTCCCGATACATACCTTCCCCTAGCAAGAGATCATGGTCAGTTCTTTGTACAGCCCATGGTATGATATTTGTCGAGAAGAAAAGAATGGCAGCCGTGTTATCACAGTAGATCACGGTTGTCTCATATGCATGCTTAGTCACATCAAGACAGAGAAGAGAATTTCTCAGCCATATTGCTTCTTGAACTGCAGCCGTGCATGCTATATATTCTGATTTAATGGTAGACAAAGAGAAACAATCTTCTTTCTTACTGCACCAAGATATTGAGCCTCCTTCAAGGATAAACATATACCCTTTCCTTTTTTCGTCCATTTCTCAGCAATAGCTACCTGAATGGAAGCAAGCAACCCTCGGGAAGAAGAAGAAAAGTGGTCGAAGACTACGAGTCGAAACTAAGAACAATCGAAGCCAATTTCCCTCAGCTGGAAACTCTCTAGATAGCTTCTTAGCGCTTAGCTACTTTCTCCTTCTGCGCCGCTAGCGCTACTACTCCTAGTGATAGGAATAACATACTATTTTTCGCGATGAGGCCCATCTTGGACCGGTAACGTATTCTAATGATCTGGATCTCTGGCTTATCTCTTACTTGACGGATTCTATTTCAGCTAGTGGGATTTCATTTAAGTGACGATAATCAGGAAAGAACAGGGTGGATTGGCTCTGATCGATACCATCTAAAAGTGCTTGCTTCATTCATTCGTGACATTACTGGTTATTCTTATTTAGTTTCGCCTCTAGTGACTCTTGGAATCATGCGCATGGCTCCATGCATATTCATGGGGGGCCTAACGAGTGCTACGAGTGAATGCGTAGCTTTGTCTTCTCTTATTCAATTTCGAGTTAGAGGTTAGAGGGAAAGATAACTCCCCCAAAGCAGCCATTCTCTTAAGAAGAGCTATTATCCCTTGTTATTTCTAAAATGTGTATCACCATACTGAATCTAGCGCAAAGCTAGGAATGATTATCGGAAGTTGGCTACTTACTTAGGTAAATCAGTTCCTTCTCTAAGACCTAACTGCGCTGTCGAGGGTGATCTTGAAAGAGCACATGAAGGATAGGGAGGGACCGGAATTCCCCTTTTTGAAAGAGCTGCTTGTACTCAAGCTTGAAGGTGGAGATCTTATAAAGGTTGCCAGTAAGCAAGAAGCAAGCAGGTATCTATTAACAGCAATAGTCAGAGTCATATAAAAGGTAGCCAAAAAGAAGCATCGAATCCATCAGGTTGTATGAAATGAAAGGAGACCCACAGTCCCACTTCTCCTTCCCCCCGCCCCAGAAATGGGGCGGGCCTCGTTCTTCTTGACGATACCACCGTTCAAAAAGACTACACCTTCTCCCTAAAAACGGAAATCTGGTTTGGCAGTCACAAGGAAGATTGTGTACCCCAACTCAAAAAAACAGGCACGGGACTAGCCCGCTGTCCCGAGGACAAGAAAAAGGCTGTGTTTAGCCTTTTCGTGCGCGATCCCAATCGTGGACCGTAACTGTTAAGTCGATATGGGCTTTATCTTAGGTTCCCCCGTATAGGTATAAAACCCTTTTCCAGTTAATGTTATCGAGGACCTGGGCGATTTTGACCCGCTTCTCGGCGCTCGCCGTTTCAAGGTGAAGATCTTCGTTAATCCTTTTTAGGATTTTTGATTTTCGTATACGCTGGCATGAGCGAATAACATTTTGGATTCGTTCTCGCAAGAACGAAATGGATGGTGCTTCAGGTTCAGGGTTCGGCGGGGTGTGGCTTGTGGATGGTTCGGACGCGGCATTTTCCTCCGATAAGTTGAGGTACTTTTGCCAACTCTCAGAGGCGGATCCCGAAGCCGACCCAGAAGAATTCATCCAATTTATGAGAGCGGATTCGCTACCGAAGAAGACCCCCAAGAGAGAAAGAATCACCAAGGCGAGACTCCCAGGGCAGCCCATCTTTCTCAAAAAGGAAGAGAGGGTGAGCCCCCCCAGAGAGAACCCCATTCTTTCAAGAAAGTTAGAATAGAATTCATTCTGTCGAAAAAGAAAGCAGGAAAATAGGAGTAAGCGAGTAGGGTCAACAAGATTATAAACGAATACCATAAGGGGCGAAGGATATTTTTTATATTATTCAAATTATTATTTATTGATTGATTATATAATTTTTTTTAGATCCATATTCATTTTCATTTGCAAATACAAACTCTCTTGCATTTTCTTTTTACTTTAGCGCTAAGGATAAGGGAACGGAGAAAAAAAGAGCTGGCTTGGCTGGTACATCAAGCATATGACATATTGCTTGTTCGGTGTGGTACACATATCTGTCAATGTCAATCAAGTAAGAAAATTCATTCCCACTGTCTGAGGAAAAGGTGAAGAATTGCAATTTATTGAGCTTGTAAGGCCCGTCCCCGAGAAAGGGTATAAATAGGGCTATAAGTAGGCCGTTTGCTATTGCAATAAGGGCTGCTCGCCTTTCCTTTTGACGGCTTGGCTTCCTATCGCTCCTATGTAGTGGTCGGCCTTAAAAGGAGTCTTCCTACCATACCATCATGCATGCCTATGTTATAGTGCGTTAAGCTTCGCCAGAAGCAAGCAAGATGATGAAGCGAAGCTTCGTAGACAAGGCTCGTTCCGTGCTTGACTTACGAGCTCGTGTAGTAAGGCCTCGCCCTACTTCAATAAGGGCTTATGCACTCCACTCGTAAACGAGCGTTAGAGCTTTTTGAGCGAGCGAGCGAAGCCTTCCTGGAGCTTCCCCCTTCCCTCACCCGAGAATTGCATTTCCGCTTCAGCTTCCCCGGTTTAGTTGGTTTGGAGGATTAATTGATTGGATACCCAATCCGCATAATCTTTCAAAGTCACTGCTTCTACGACGATAGGCGTAAAGGCATGATTAGTTCCACAAATCTCACTGCACTGACCATAGTAAACTCCTTCTCGTTGTACCGAGATGGAGGTAAGATTTGAACGACCAGGTACAGCATCACATTTGACACCTGAGGAAGGTACAGCCCAACTATGAGGTACATCAGCGGGTGTTACAATCATACGTAGATGAGTTTTGGCTGGTACAACCACTCTATTGTCAACTTCTAATAAACGTGATTGACCCAATTCTGGATCATCTTCTGGAATCGTATAACTGTCAAAAGTGAGTGACTGTTCATCGGAACTGTTATAGTCCGAATACTCATAAGGTTGGGTCGACGCCCGCCTCCCCCCAAACTTGACTTGCAAGTTTCCCCGCAAAAAGCTCTCCACGCCTACTCTTATTTTTAAAGAGCGCTATTCTTCTTTAGTTAGGTAGTTCTCCCCCCTCTATGAGACCGTAAGACCCCGGTGGAATCGAAGGCCCGCTTACTAATAGGCAAGAGGGGACCCTTTCTCGCCCAGCCCTACCTACATCAGTGAAGCTGGAACCGAGGAAGACAATGTTCAACACACATGAGACAAAATGAAGGTATGGGACGGCCAGTTCACCACGGAAAGCGAATTCGATCCTTTAGTAGTCTTCTTTGTTCTAAAAATGCGCAGTGGAAAGGGATGCTAGTCGGCTTTGGCGAAGTTGTAGGCCCCAATAAATCAGATCAAGAGTGATTCCTCATCTATCCTGTCAGGGGCCAAGTCGAAGGCTCGAGTATAGATTCCCTATGCTCATGTGAACGGCCGGCCCGTAGATCTAAAAGGATCCTCCATAGGCCTGACCGGAAAGTATGTTTGTCCACGAAAAAAAAACTCGTTCATGAGACCTCGAATTCCCACCCCCTCTTGAGTCACCCTTATCTAAAAAAAAAGGACGGAGTCTATCTAGATCATAGGATCACTGTATTCAGAGGTCAATTCTCTTTCTTTGACCTCCCACCGTTCACGACATCCCTTGCTTCTCGCAAGAACGGCTCCTCGGTGGAGGAGTAGAAGCGCTGGTCCCCTTCGGTCAAGTGCTTGTGCGTGCTCTTACCTACCGTAGGACCTCCGTCCCCGAAGCGAAGAAGGAGGAGCAGGAACAACAGGTTGTCCTCTCTTGGCCCAGTAGTTCCGCAACTACTACCGTGGTTGTTGCCAACGGGGATCCCCCATTCCGAAAGGTAACGGGGCCGGCCCTTAGGTCCAAAGTTGTATGCCACTGCTGTGGTGCCGATAGATTCACTACTGAAGCCCCGTTATCGGACATTGCAGGCTTAGCATCTATTTTTCGTATATCGCTCCACCACACCGAGAAGAGGTATGTGTACCTCCAGCAATAACAAGAATGGAACCATAGGCTCCTATGCTGGGAGCATTTCGGGGTATAGGTCTAACCACCTCAACTCCCCGTTTCTGGCATGCTATAGTTCTTTTAGTCTCTCGACGACGGGAATGGGAGATGACCGGTAAGCCAGATGCTTCGCGAACCACCGGTACATTTCGTTGCACTTAAATCACCCTCGTTAAGAGGCGCACTCCGATACCATTGATGTCCAATAGCTTTGATAGTAATGGCTGGATCTACTAATACCCCGTCCATTGAGTATAACAGAGCAAACGATGGTATAGCAATGAACAATGGAATGACACTAGGAAAAATGGTCCGAATAATTTCGATAGTAGTTCCATGAACAATCCTTTGCGGGATTGGATTAGTTTGCTCGTTGAAATGCCATAAAGCGCGAACCAACATCCGTGATACGAAAACCAAAATCAGAATGAGGAAGAAAAAGATATCGTGATGTAAGTCAATGATTCCTTGCATCATAGGTGTTGCTGCGTCTTGAGATCCTAATTGCCATGGTTCCGCAGCATCACAAAGAGCGATTGTGAGGAATCGACATTCTAATGAACGAAGAATCATTGGAATTTCCCATCTTTTGAAGCTCTGCTCCCAAAACAAAAGAGAAAGGAGACTGATCTTGACGTCGGCGTTGGTTTTCCAACGAAAACAAATTCGAACTTCCATGAAAAAACCAAATGCTAGTTGCCATTTTATGTAACGCATACACTTCCGCGTCCCATCGACTTTGGCCAATGAGATTACTATACGCGTTTTCAGAGGAACTTGAAAAGTGAAATAGATTCAGCACCACCATTGGGCGGGGAACAACTACTCCTTTTTTCTTTCCTCAATCGTTCCTCCTCAAACAAAAGTATTCCGTTCCCATTGCTAAGGGGCTTTGAACACCTCGGGTGCGCGCTCGGATGGTTCACGGCAATTCAAGGTAGTTTCTACTAATAGCTCAGGGGCCTGTATCGATAAGAGAAATGGCATCATGCCTTCTTCCGTAGCCTGAACTATCCAACTGGACTCCGGCTATGCGGATTGCTTTCTTCATTTCAGTTGGGTAATTCGACCGTCCACCTTCCATACAACTTGAGTTGGCTTTGATCGATTGCTTGGTGTCACGCTATTTACTACTACGGTTAGCTAAATTCGTTTATGACACCGATTCATTTCTAGTTGATCCATTTTGTAAGGTCGTTCAGAAGCAAAGGCCTACTACTCTACTATACAAGACAAGTAAGCTGGTCAAGTCAAAAGAAGGTTCCTGACTATCTAGTAAATGAGTGCACGAAGAAAGGGAATGGCATGTTCACAAACTGGTACTTTTCTCCCGGTAGGTATGTTTTACAATAGGCATGTGCCATGAAGCAAGAAAAGGAACAAGTCAAAGCAGAAAGAAAGCCCACGGAAAGGAGCGGGCACAAGGAAGGGATGGGGAGTTTTTGAAGTTTGAGAGATAGTGAGGAAGAATCCAAGGAACGATCGAATTCAGTGATGGATGGGAATCGTGACACTTCATCGGTACATTCTTATCTACCTCTCCGGAATGAAAACTCTACTGCTAATGGATTTAGAAAAAGTCGAGCGAATAGCTGCCCAATCAAAGTCTTCTCTCTGACTTATCGAGTTTGAGGAAGGATGGGGATTGAGTACGGATAGGGTAGTAGTTACCATCCAGCCTGTGTCAGTTTACTGCCATCCAGAAGCTGTAATTGCTTAGCCAATTGCATAAGCATCCGGAGTTGCACCAGTTAGATAGGAGAAAATGGAATAGGAAACAGGAGTCTTTCCTGCCTGGCCTCTGTCTTCGAGCAAGTTCGAGTTATCGTTGGAGTACTTGGAGTACTAAGCGATTTCAGTATGGGAAGTTTACTATCGGTTCTTTCATATGCTAACTTTGCCAATGCCCTTCCTTAGCAACTACGGGGTCTTCGGCATAAGGGGAGTGCATTCATGTGATATGATATTGGTCTAGTTTAGGCTGCTTGAACTTTCTCTCTGTTCATTGATTCATTGGCTATCAGAGATAAAAGGAATCCAGGACAGTCATCAGTCACACAACCTCTTCTTGTAATGCCTCTGGAATTGCAGCTTACTCCCCTTCTTGAGTGATTCCTGTTGATGGAAGATAGGCTAATTTAGGGTTAGCCTAATAGCTCATCATTCCTCACTCTATTCTTTCAATTATAGTAATAAACTGGACCTATCAGATCCAATGAACTACTATATTTAGGACAAGCCCAACACTACTACTATTAGAACATGCCGGGTAGGTGGTATCTCCCAAAGTGAAAGGAAATATGACCTCATAGAAGCAGCCGCCAGGCCAGCCGGAAATTTACTAAGTCTGGTTTGAAATGACAATTCGTAAGTAGAGTCACACACGTTAGACGACAATATGCTCTAGTCTTTCAATTCTAGCAATGATATCCACTGTGCTATTCAAAGGTATTTGAGTGGAATGAACTCATCTTAGCCTGGTGTCGGGGAATTGATGAAACGAGCCATTCCTTTAGGCGCAGGGGCAAGTGAAAGAGATGGACAGAGACTAGGGAGGAAGATGGAACGAAAGAGATGGAGAGAGGCGAGAGAGATTGAGTGGAGGGGTCGAATCGCAAGAAACGATTGGAGCGGATAGATCAATCGAAGACGAGATAATCGGGGATAAGGATCGAAGGAGGATAATTGCCAAACTAAAGTGAATGGTGGGATATACCTGAAAAGCCAAAAGCCTAAATCAGTTCTATTCAAAGGAAAGAAAATAATCTCTCACTTATCTTATGCTTTCCTAGCTATCAAACCGCGAACGAAAGAATTGATCTTGCTGGATTGAAGTGAAGTACTTGCTTATGCCATTCACCTAGAGTTTTCTAGAAATACTTTCCATTGATTTCAGGGCCCTGTCTTGCTTATTGTTTCAGTGGGATAGGAGCACTACTTGCTTTGTCTTTACTGGCATTGCTTGAATATAGGCTCATAGAATATTCTTTCGGCATGCAAACAATCAAGTATAGTAGGTCAAGCCTGCTAGTAGATAGAAAGATAAAGCAGCCTATCAAGTACTTATCTATGCCGGCAAGTAATATAGTATGAAGTAGTTTTGCAAAGAAGCTTGTTCTTTCGGAGTAGATTGGCACTACGGCACTAAGGGTACACTACTAGCTTTTGATATGTAGTTTTTCATAAACAGAAGAAAGAGTTAGTTTTCTCGCGTGCCAGCAATCTCGTTCAGGCACTAAACTAGTTTCGGGGTTCACTCTAATCTAAGAGCAGGGGATGGAGATGGAGCTGAGGAAAGGAAAGAACTTGCAACGAACAAGCGACGGATTGCCTTCCTTCTTCCTTGAAGGTTGGACTTACTCGAATTACTACATTTCCTGTTTCCGCTAACCCTGTTTGTTCGCATATCAGGTTCGGCTTGAGCGCAGACATCGGATCGTATTGATGGATATCGCATGCTAGTGAGTAACCCTTTTCCCTGTGGTCGAGCCCGTACTGCTTACATCTCTTTAGAAAGCAATAGATCTGTCCTCCATCTTGAAAATGCATTACTTTATTCTTTATCTTCCGTTTGGTCGCCTTTTCTCTAGCATAGTAAGTTAGTGGTATCCGTCCGTCAGTAGATCTGTCTTCTACTTGGCTTGACTCCCCCGCTTGCTATAGAAGAACTGGATCATACTAGTAATTAGTCTGCAGATAGTTCCCTTCCAATTCGCCATGTTCTCCTTTAGCTTCTTTCAATTTGCCAAGAGAAAGAGCACCTACCCTCCTTTCTTGCTTCCATTCTATATCGCTTCCCCTACGAATGAGGACTCTCCCTAGTATATCTTGATAGGAGCCCGTCGATAGTGGAGTAGTTCTTTCCTTCCTTCCCGCTAGCAACAACAACCCTTTCTTTTCGAAAGATAGATCCTCGATCTGAGGGATATTCTTCAAACCGGAGCCAACTAATCAATGCTTTTATCTATTACGCGAGTTCGGTCGTTGGCCGAGTTACGTTTCTTTTGCTTTTTTCGATCAATCCAACAATTCCTTCCTGCTTTCCGAGTTACGGTTTTCTCACCTGCTTTCCTACGGAGAACATTCCAATGAACGGACGGACAAGGGCGCACCGGTTCTACACTGGCCCAACCAAACTACCATCGACTAGGCCTTTTGAGGTTTATTCACTTCTCTGAAATGAAACTTAGCACTTGTTTTCCAATCCTTGCTTGTTTATAAGCAGCTTTCTCCTTTTCGATTCCCACTGCTCGAAGTCGGCTTTTCCTCCGCTCTGGGGGATATTCCTTCTACCAATCAGAGTGGCCTGCCCTCAAAGTGGTAGGATTGAACCAGGCAGTCG